AAAGACGATATGAACAAAATAAGAATGTATTGTCTGGTAAACCATTGTCCGTTTGTAGAGTCATTTGTTCAACGTTCCCGATAACTTCAATTTCATAATTAAGGCAACTTTTTGCCCAAGTTTTTTTCGCACGCTCGCATCAGTTTCGGGGTGCCCAGGGGATGTCATCCCGATTCCGTGTGATCAGATCAGTATCATGTGGCCTTGAAATAGGTCTAGACAACGAACACCGTTTAATAAATCATGTGTATGAATATTGATTGCTAAAAAGAAGGAAAGCAAGATAAAAGGGCAAGGGTAAAGTTAATACATTTATACAACATACATTTGTTCTGTACTCCAAAGGAAACTTGATATTGGCCTCGGACTAGCCGTATATATGATACATGAAACTTGAAAGGCTACGTGGCATGTCTGTTAGCCTTTGTTACGGTTCAAAGTCAGAGGGTGGTGGTCACGCCACGCCAGGCTCGCACTATCCCGTCGGTTTGTCTGATTTTTGACATCTCCATTTGACATCTCCATTTCGACAAGAAAATAAAACGACATGACAACTGACAGCAAGTACTCGTCCAAACACACACATATGCTTTGAGACCGTCGGAATGCAGGGGTAGACTCCCACTGCCCTGTAAATGGTACTGTCCAATGAATAGTTTTCCCATGATGCTTTGACCAAAACACTCTGACGTAATCATCATGGCGGCCACAGACTCAAACTCTGACAGTTCCTCTTCCAGCAACGTTTTAGTCGACAAGCAACAGCTCGAGGCTGGCTCCTCCTCAGACAGTTCCGACGACCTCTCCGCCCCTGTACAGAAGTGCCCATTATGTTGTAGCAGAACTAAGCGGTTTACTTGTAAATCGTGTGTGAATGACGGTAATTTTAGCAGGCCCGACTGTTCCGACTCACCAGCTAGGTAGGTTCGCTTTTAATACTTTCTGTTGGGTACTTTCAAGTAGCTGCTCGATTTGTTAAAAGCAGACTTAAGATGCGCTACTTCACAAACCGATAATCCTTTGCAAATGTAAAACGACTGACAGCTTCCATCAAAATTATCAGTTAGTCACGTTTACGTTATACCCCCGAAAGTGGAATCGTCCCGAATGTCTTGTCTTTTGTTCATATAATTTTGATCCCATTATATTTATCAGAAGTTGTGCCGCAGTCCTTCAGATATGGTTATGTTGCCAAATTACACGGAACCTCTATACTTTCCCAGAGGCAAAGGGGCCTATGACTTTCGTATACCTTTGCTTTAAATATCTGAACTATTATGGTATAAATGCAGCATCAGTGCTGCACATTTATTTATCATAAATTATAATCAATTTCATCATATGCTACATTTTTGTAGGGTAACCCCTAGCCGTGGCGACTCTTGATTCGGGCTTACATTTGCATTACCCTCAGCAAGAGTCGTGGAAAGATCCATTGGCAGAACTGCACATTTCCCGTTGGCTGCACGATGCTCCGTTTTTTACCCGTTTTTTTGCTGTCCCGAGCTTCCCTA